GTTTGAGGTTTCGCTCAAGGCTTTATAATGTTTTAACATAAGACAACGACATAGATGATCCCTATTTAACACTTGAAGTTCACCAACACTGTCTTTAAATGAAACTTTTACCGAGTATTTTGCTCAGATCCGTGTTCTCCAGCTCTGGGTTGAGCTGCGCCAGCCGCCTGCGCTCCTCTTTGGTCCAGATGATGAATGCGTTCAGGGGCCTCCTGACCCTCTGCGGTGCGGGGCCACGCTTGGCCTCCGGGCTGGCGCAGCTGGAGTCCGAGTTGACGGAGAGCGGACTGGGAGGCCCGGAGCTCGGGCAGCGCGCCTCGTGCATCTGCTCTCCGTCCAGATCGTCGCCGTCCGCGCGCTTTGCGCAGAGCTGGAAGCGCGCGGGGTCCTGGCTGAAACGCATGGTTACCTGCGGGGATGAGCCGCAGGCCGCTGTCATGCTGTCAGGGCAGAGAGATGAATGACCGCTCCGTCAATGGCAGGATGGGAGGAGTGGAGTTAAAGGTGTGAAAACCAGGTGTTGCCTCAGGTCGATGAATTTACCCCTCAGGATTAATCAACTTCTAAAATGCTGAAAAGATCTCATGACGCGCTCATAAATTATGCATTCGTCGCCTGCCGCAATTGTTCGTCTGTCTGTTAGCAAAATATCTCATGAAGCATTGGATGGATTGTAGTGAAACTCCCTGTAAGTAATCGCTGATTGTGCATCTTCAAGATTACCTTTGGAGTCAACACGATTCAAGATGGCTCCCACAGCCAACTTATCTTTGCAAAACACCAAAGTCATTTTAACTTTGTCAAAGCTACAGATGTTGAGTTGAAATTTGGTGTGGTAGTAGCTGAGACTGATCCCCAGCGAATGTTCTGACTGCTACAAGCTCGAGCTAAGTCTTCAGAGTTTTGCCTTTAAATATTTGGAGTCCGCTCTTGTCTGTCTGTTAACAAAATATCTCATGAATCACAAAACGAATTTGAATGAAACTTTCAGAAAATAATTATTGGGTATACGGATGTAGCTGAATAAATTTTAAAGTCAGTTCAGTTCAAGATGGCCGTTACCGCTAGTCAGACTTATCAAACACAAAAATGGCACTGACTCAGTCAATTTTACAAAAAAAAAAAAAAAAAAAAAGAGCTAAAATTTAAGAGTTGTTTATATCTCAGGGTTTTCTGATCGTGACACCTCTATTGCATGCGATTGAGCATAATATTTAAAACTTTGACCAAAAGTTTCCATCATTTGTCATTTTACGATAATCTTAATCTAAAACTTTAGAAATTGCATGCATTTCCTATGAAAATGCAGTGTGAATGCTTATAGCTGAAGAACTTGCTGAAAAACAGCTATGGCTAAAAACATGCTGAAATGTAGCTGAAATGGATGAACAAGCCTAAATTAGCAGAAGAAAGCAGAAAGAACACGTATTTACTGAATTAGGTTTAAATAAGCAGTAAAGAGCACAAAAATAGGAAATTAGCTTAAAAAAAAGCTTAAATTAGCACACAGCTGAGATAGCTGAAAAGGCAGAAAGCAGCTTAAACTAGAAGGAAACGGAAAGAGCTGAAATGAGCTCCAAAAATGTGAAATTAGCTGAAAAAGCTAAATTTAGCATAACAGCTTAGTAGATGAAATGGCAGGAAAAGTTGAAACTAGCAGAAATCAGCTGAAACATAACAAGCTGAAATTAGCATAAATAAGTTAATTAGGCTGAAAGTAGCAGAAATGACCATGACAATTTTGAATTTATCAGGAAACAGTTGAAATGAGCTAAAAATTTTAAAAATATAGCTGAAAAGAACAAGCTTAAATTAGAAGAAGAAAGCAAAAAGAACATGTTTGCCCAATTAGGCTGAAAGAAGCAGAAATGAGCACAAAGAAGTGGAAATTATTGCTGAAATTAGCAAGAAACTGCTGAAAAGTATAGCTAAAAAAGCAGAAAGACACAAATTACCTGAAGGAAGCGGAGAGAGCACGTATTTGCTGAATTAAGCAGAAAAAAGTTGAAATAAGTGCAAAAAATGTGGAATTAGCCAAAAAAAGCTAAGATTAACATAAAAACAGCTAAATAGTAGAAAAAGCTGAAATGCATAAATAATCTGAAAGGAGCGTAACAAGCTAAAATTAACATAAAGACCTTAGAAGATGCATAAATAATGTTGTAGTTAGCTGAAATAATCTGAAAGGAGCACAAAACAGCTGAAAAAACATAATAAATTAGTTGAAAAAAGTTAAAATCTGCTCAAGGAAGCTGAAAGAAGCTGAAACAGAACCAAATGTGAAAGGAGCCGTAAAAGGTTGTAAAGAGATCTAAAGATTTGAAGGATGTAAAATGAGCTCAATTCAAATGAGAAAAAAAAAAATGGCAGAAAAGACTAAATATTTCAAAAAGCTAAAGTTGAAGCAATACAAAAAGTCATGCACCCTTCTGAATGAGCTGAACATTTTGATTTAGGATTTGTTGAAATAGCACAAAAATTGTGTAACGAGGAAAATGCTGAAAATGCACGGAAGACAAATGGATCACAATAGTGTGAATGCTTCATAAACATTCACACAATAATGGTATGAATGGCAGTGGGAGATATGCCTTCCTTCAAAGCATGCTATTGTTATTATTATAATTATTTTTATTTTTGACGTCACTCAAACAGCTTGTAAGGCAAAATGACTAAAATCTGTTGATTTTCCTCTGAAACAAATGTTGCCTTAAACTTTCAAACAGAAGTATTTTTATTTAGTTTGAAGCTTTTTATTTGAACTTTAATCGGATGCAATCTTTAAGCATGATTTACTCATCTGAAGCCCATTTAGAAAAAATACGCCCTTGCGTGCTGTAGAAAAACTCCAATCAATAAAACCTGAAGGCGCAGAGGAAGCTAAAGGATAAAAACACGTCAAAGTAAGCAGCACGTAGGGCTGGTTACTAATTACAACCATTATCAGTCATCCACTGTCTTTATCAAAGCACAATTTACCAAACTAAAAAAAGAAGCATGATCAAGGCGCGTTTTTTTACACAATTACCACGCAGAACAAAACCCCACCCTGATAGGCCTGATACAAAAGAAGGTGATGAGCTTAGGACGCTGAAACAAGAAAGAAATAACTTTGTCAGATTTATCTTGTTTTGGAGGAGAGGTGTGAATAAAATGAGGGAACAAAGTCTAAATGAGGACTTTAGGAAGTTCAGACTCACAGCAGGGGGATGCAACGATTTCAGTTTTATCTGAGAAGGTGTTTTTCACACGTCGCTGAGTTTATTTAAAACAAAACACCTTTAACAAATGCAAATGTGCTTATGAGCAGGCAAAAGGAGCGGAAAACTCTTAAGAGTTGAGCCTGCGCAGAAAAGGGATCTTAATATTTTGTTTACATTCAGCGCACACCCTCATTTCAGATAAGTATTCGCAGAACTACTGGAGCAAACTCTTTCACTGATGGGCTCAGCTTTGCAAAGAATACCTTTAAATGAGAAATATGAATCTAATCAAACATTGTTTATATCGAGCAGGATATTTACAGGATGTCTGTTTTTTTTTTTAGAATTAGAGCTTGACAACATCCACTGTGCCAAACCCCACTCTGCTGCTGCAAGAAGTACTAATGGAATTAATCAATTAGCCTGAAGGCCTCAGCGAGAGCATGAGCGTGAATCAAATGGGCTATAATACTAAACTGAAAGTCATGTGAGTGTTTGTGACAGCTGGGAAGACTCCTTGCACTTAACTTGTTATTCAACTCCTTTGCACCTTAACTCTCCTTTAATTTACCTAATTGTTGGTTGACCCTAATCTGAGGTGACAGCGAGGTGTATCAGTGCATTGTCTCATAACCAAACAAGCAGAGTGCTCTGGCTCAATGGGCACTGTAGTTTTCTGAATAGGGATTGTTCTCTGTGGCTTTCTGATCACAATGTGCCATTGTATTGGACAGAACTCATATATGGGACGCTCCTCTCCTTCCTCACTTTGGATCGGAGATGAGCAGCCTGGCACAGAAGAAGAGGAAGACTGAAGAGAGCAGGAGCTCAGCAGCTCTGGATGGAGTTTACGTCGCCGACGTGCAGAAATCTGTCGCGTTTATGGATATGCAACAGCAGGAGCTGAGACCTTCATTTGCTTTTTGCATGATGGATTCTGAGCAGATGACGCAGGACTTTTAATGTTGGCTCTTCTGAGACACGTTTCCAGGAGCAAATGTGGGAAAACTATCAAGGTGCAAACTAAAACTCTGATAGCCAAGCACCACCCCCCTTGAGCATCCTGTATTGTTCCATTCAGGTGTGAAGAGGACAGAAAACAGATGTCTCAGGCGGACGTGATATTTTACAGCTGCATTGTAAGGACCCAGCCTCCACCTCCGCTCCTCCGTCACACGTTTGAGCAGATTCAACACCAGGTACCTGAGTGTGAGCCTCCACACTCCCTGCGCAAACATCGCCCGGACCCGGCCCGCTGAGAGGATTACATTCACCCCCTGGTGAAGGCAGGCTTATAGCCTCATTACTGAACACAATGATGCCCACCCCCACACCACCACCACCACCTTCAGAGCGGAGATAACAGGCCGGTCTCAGCCAGATTTCAAACGTCGTTCAAACTCTGAACTTAAACCAGAAGTTCAGATTGTTTTAATAAAACATCTGCTGTTATAAACAATTAATATCTTACCTGTTGTAGATAGCTCTTTGAACGACATCATTTTGGAGTAACAGGGTTTGATCTGAGCAGATGGATGAGCTAATGACTCTAAACAATAGCAGTCTGAAAATAAATTCAAGGCGGCTGATAAAAACACTATTTCACAAACATTTTTATTGCCGTTTGTTTGGTAATAAAAAAGCACACAGAACTCTGGCTATTTGCAAGTCCAAATGGCAGCAGCAAAACTGATGATGTAAAGCGGTGGGCAACATTTTTTTTCCCCAAAGGGCCACATCAAGATGTTAAAAGCAATCAAAGGGCCACATAGAGAAGTGGAAAATAAATTTTCTTTATGACAAATGATCTAGAAGACCTTTTTCACACTGTTTCTTGTTGTAGCATAGTTAGCATGCTTTATAAAACATGTATTTCCCTTATCTTCTAGGAATATTAGCCATATTCTGTAAACTGGCTTTTGTGACAATATATTATACGTTAGCTTAACATGGCTTACATGTTATACATGTTAGCTTATCGTGTTATACACATTAGCTTAACATGTTATACATGTTAGCTTAACATGTTACACACAATAGCTTAATGTGTTATTCATGATAGCATAACATGTTATACATGTTAGCTTAGCATGTTATACACATTAGCTTAAATGTTATAAATGTTAGCTTAACATGTTATACACGTTAGCTTAACATGTTATATATGTTAGCTACATGTTACACACGTTAGCTTAACATGTTATACATGTTAGCTTAACATGTTATGCACATTAGCTTAACATTTTATATATGTTAGCGGAAATATGCAAAACAAATGTATATATTTGTGTTTCTAAGTCTTTAAGACTCAGTCTAGTTATGGAAATACGATGACTTAAAAATGTTTTTTTTTTTTTTAAAGTTTTGTGTAAGATGTTTAATTTAAATTTCCTTAAATCTCTTTTATAAATTGCAGTTTTTTTTAAACCAATGTTTTTTAGTAAAAAGTTTTTTTTTTCTTTAACTAAGGGTATTGGGGGCCTTATGGAGATCGTATAAAGGCCACTTTTGGCCCTCGGGCCAGAAGTTGCCCACGTCTGATGTAAAGGTTTCGTTCTCAGGAGCCACTGTGACTTTTTGAGACTGGAGTTGTTTGGGGTCTCAGCCCTACTTGAGCTAGCTCTTAGCTCATCAGTCCTGTCTGACTTGAACTCTGAGGTTGTTCAAAGATCTATCAAAGTAAAACATTGTTTATAAAGTTTCAACAGAATGTGACTTTAAAAGATATGAACTACCCCTTCAGTCATGTGGGGACAATGTTCAAATAAGAACGAGAGACTTTGTGACTGTATCTGTTCACTTTTACACTAAACAAGCACTCGTCATCATCAGCTGAGATTATTGATACACCATGTTACAATCTGCTCCTTCACAAATAAAAAATGTACATTTTCTCTTTGGTCGTTAAGTTTAATTTTTTTGTTTGTTTTGAAACAACCCAAGTTATCTAAAAATGTCACCTCGGACCATTGAACAATTCAAACTTAATCAAAAAGCAAACTTGTCCTTAAAGAAACATGATTGCATTAAATCAAGACAAGACTTTAAAACAGGACCGTTTTAGTTTTTGCCTCAGTAAAAGAACAAAGTTTCAGCTATCTGATACTAGCGTGTACATTTTTACACAGATCAGCTCTTATTTATCGAGAGCCACTGGTCTCCTCTACTGTAATCAGTTCAAAGCTCTGAAGCTTTTAAAGCGGCCCTATTCAGTGTAAATTAGGAATTGTATTCTGCACTGATAAGGCCCTTATCTGCGGAACTGAAGGGATCTTTCCAAGTGTTTTATTGTCCACACGACTGAGCCTTGTGTGTCAGGTCGTTGGGAACGCTTGTGATGTTCTCAGGTGAGTCGAAGAACCTGTCTTTGTCCTCTAAAAAGAGAAGGGAAAGGAGCACAACACTTGGCTGTCATTAGTTCTAATTATTAACTAAAACTTCCCTGAGACATCAGAGTTGGTCGTAAACGGCCTGTTCGAGGCAACAATCCACCCCACTGCAGCAAAGTTACCAACATTTAATTAAAAAGTGTGTGCCAATTTCTGCGTCTTTCAGCCATAGTGGGCACAATTGTCCACTTCCTTTGGGTCATTTAAGCTTCTTTCTACTATTTTAGCTTCTATTCAGCTGTTTTGGGCAAAATTCTGCTTTTTTCAGATCATTTCTGCTTCTTTCAGCCTCCACTTCCTTCTGCTAGTTTATACTTCTTTCGACTATGTTAGCAACTATTCAGCTGTTTCTTTGCTAATTTCACCTTTGTTAAGCTAATTTGGGCATTTTTGAGCTCGTTACTGCCTATTTAAACCGAATTCGGCAAATAAGTGTTTTTCTGCTAACTTAAGCTTGTTTCAGCTACATTTCAGCATGTTTTAAGCTAATTGCAGCTATTTTTCAGCAATATGTATTCACACTGCAGTTTTGCAGGAAATGCAGTTTCTCTGGTTATTAACTAAAACTTCCCTGAGACATGAGTGTTGGTCCTAAATGGCCTGTTCGAGGCAACAATCCACCCCTGCTGCAGCAAAGTTCCCAGCATTTAATTAAAAAGTACAAAATGGTAGATTTGGAGCACAACCTACAGACTGCCTTTTCAGACAAATAAACAACTAGATTCCTTTCTTCTCTTTAAAATGCAGCCCAACGTTGAAGTGGAGTGATGTTTGAGCCTCGGTCACTCCTTCTCTCTCCGCTGCTCGTCTGAGACCTGATACAAATTCAAAAGGATCTGCTGCTTTGAAGATAAGCGCTGCAGTTCTGCCATAAACAATGATTGTGCTGTTTCTTTCCTGCGGCGTGATTTATTTAAAGTATTATGCTGTAAGGATCTGGGCTGGTTTTTCCTGGTGGGGCCGGCTGTGTACTTGTGAAGCTTACTGGACACTTTAGATGCAGGAAAACACTCGAAAGCAAAGTCATCAAAGCAAAACCTTTGACATATCAAGTGGAATTTATAATGTTGGCTTTCATATAAACATAAAAGTCTGGCTCTAGTGTGGTGCATTTTCTTCTTGCAATCATGTATTAAGCATGGAATTGGGATGTGATGGAAACACGATGCCTTTATTATTGTTATTTGATTTAGAAATTCTGCAGCAATGCCTCTTCAGACAATATCCACGTTAACTATCAGGTTTTTATATTGTGTTGCTTAGTTTAAGATGATAAAAACGAAAAGATCAATCTTCCAGCTGTAATTGCTTGCTGCCAGAATCTTCTTCATACACCAGTTAGTCATGGAGTTCCTCAGGGTTCCGTGCTTGGACCAATACTTCTTTTTTTTTTTTTTTCATTTAGCCTTTATTTATACAGGTTAGTCTCATTGAGCCACGAGAACTCATTTTCAAGAGAGACCTGTTTAGGGAGCACATGGTGGGGGTTAAGGGCCTTGCTCATGGGCCCAGAGTGGGGCGAATGAGGGTGGGGGCAAGTGTGGGTGTTTCACCTACCCCACCCACAATTTTGATGTTGTCGGGGCCGGGGCATGAACCGGCGATCTTCGGATCACAAGCCCACCTCTCTAACCTCTGCGCCACCACTCCCCCCTCTTTACTTTATATATGCTTCCATTAGGTAAAGTTATTAAACAGCATGGGATAAATTTTCATTGTTATACTGATGATACACAATTACACTTGTCCATGAAACCCGATGACTCCAATCAGTTACTTAAGTTACAAGCATGTCTTAAAGGCATAAAAACATGGATGACCCTTAATTTCCTGCCTTTGAACACAGACAAGACTGAGGTTTTGGTTTTTGGATCTGAGCACCTTTAGGAATTAATTTTTCATTCGCCCTCCTTGGATGGCATTAATCTGTCCTCCAGCTCTAATGTTAAAAATCGTGTTATTTTTGATCAAGACATGTATTTTATACCCCGCATTAAAAACGTTACTAGAACTGCCTTCTTCCACCTGCGTAATATCACTAAAATTAGAAACATCTTATCAAAAAATGATGCAGAAAAACTTGTCCATGCATTTGTCACGTCTAGACTGGACTATTGTAATGTTTTATCATCAGGGTGTCCAAATACTTCTTTAAAACGTCTTCAGTTGATCCAAAATGCTGCTGCCAGTCTTAACTGGAGTTAGTGGGAGAGATCATATCTCTCCAGTTTTAGCTTCTCTCCATTGGCTCCGTCAAATCCAGAATAGAATTCAAAATCCTACTTCTAACCTACAAAGCTCTCAACAACCTAGCTCCATCTTATATTACTGATCTTATTGTTCCATATTTTCCTAACAGAGCACTTTGCTATCAGACTACAGGTTTACTCGTGGTTCCTAGGGTTTCCAAAAACAGAATGGGAGGCAGATCCTTCAGTTATCAGGCTCCTCTCTCTTGTGGAACCAACTTCATGGGCGGCTGTGGCTTGAGTGGTTAGAGCAGTCGTCCTCCAATGCGAGAGTCAGGGGTTCAAATCCACCAGCAGTCACATGCTGAAGTGTCCCTGGGCAAGACACTGAACCCCTCATAGCCTCTGATGTGTGTCCCATCAGTGTATGAATGTGATCTAAAGCACTGATTAGTCTCAATAGAATGATTTGTTCAATTAGATTTGTATAGATCTAGTGGAGTGCTGTATGAATGGGTAAAATGGCACAGATTGTAGTGTAAAGAGCTTTGAGTATATTGAAATAAAATAGAAAGGTGCTATATAAGTAGTCCATTTACCATTCCAGTTTCTGTCCGTGAGGCTGACACATTTTCCAGTTTTAAGACTTTAAGTTTCTTTTTGATAAATCCTATAGTTAGGGTCAGCTTGGGTTTCCTGAGCTGTCTTAGTTATGCTGCTATAATCTAAGACTACTGGAGGACAAACTGATCACATTTTTTCTCAATGCTACTGTCTTTACTTACTCTGCTCAACCTGTTTTGTATTTGTAATTATTTTTCTATCCTTAACATGTGTTTTTTTTTGTATTTCAGGTACACCTGCACCTATATCTGGACCTGCCATTCTGTGTTCGTCTGTTTCTCCTTCCTGTCCTCTCAAACCCAGCCGCTCAAAGCAGATGGCCGCTTGTCCTGAGCCTGGCTCTGCTGGAGGTTTCTTCCTTTTAAAAGGGAGTTTTTCCTTTCCACTGTGCTTGCTCAGGATGGGAGACTGCAACAAAGTGAAAGTTCAAGTGTCTGCTAGTTTCCTTAGATAAAGAACTTTACCAATTGGTTATTTTATGCATGTGAATGTTCCTGTACAGTGCCCTGAGACAACTTTGTTGTGATTTGGTGATATAAACTGAACTAATTCCTGTTGATAAGAATGGATTCACGAACCTTCATTTGTCTGTAAAACATAACTAGGCAGGGTGATACGATGGCGTTGGCTTGTGACTCTACTGTAACAAAGGGGGTTGAGATAAGTGGCGGGGGGGGGGGGGGGGGGAGATATGGATCATTTGAATGTCCACACCAGGATACAGCTGCCGATGACTAATTCCAAACTCCCCTTCTAGGGCCTAGGCAAACCATGTCACAAGTAACACACATCGCCAGGCATCTGTTTCCTGTTTTCCTTCTTTGAGTTATCTTATTTTCCTCATTTCCCCCTCACCTGTTAGTTCATGTTCAAGCAGCACGAGCCGCTTGTGCTGACACGAGGCCGAACAAAAACACTTGTTCAGAGTCGCTCATAAAAGGGGAGAAATGAGTTTAATTAGTGATTTTCAAGATAAAGTTTATTCTTATTACCCTCAGTACTGTTTCAGAAAATAAAATAGCAATGTAGCGCATTCAAGTCGCACTAACAAACAGGGACTCTCACCTATGAACTGTAATATTTTAACAGTTTCTCATCAGTCGGTTTCAGGATCTTCTTTTCCGGCATGTTAACAACCCAGCCTGGAGAAAGGCCAAAGAAGAGCTGTCGAACATCCTTCCTCATGGCCAGCATGTGAAACAGTTCATCCTTTGAAATATCTGGCAACACATAGCCGTACTTCTGTGCCAGGGCATGCCGGGCCTGCTGGATTTCTTCCGCATCGGCTAAATAACCTCGGTTTTCAGCACTGACGTAGTACGGGACCATGTTCTCCCCGGGCAGCATTCGCTTCGGGATCGGTTGTCCCCTCATGAAGAACGCGATAGGTTTGATGAGGATCCCTGTGGAGATGAGAACAGATTCTCAGGCACTTCTTCAAAAAACCTAAAAAGCCAAAACCTGAAAATCACTAGTTACCAAGACTTATGGGATCGTAGAAACTGGTCGTGATGACGCCTCCGTTCCGTTCAATAGCAGCTATGGCTCCTTCGGACGCTCTCTGAACCTCGATGTTGATTTTCGCTGCAAAAATGTCGGCTCCCTGAAAGAAAAAGAAACACGTTTCTGTTAGGAAAGAGTTAAAGCACCAGCAGCAAAGAAGCATTTTCATTTGTGTAAACACGATCATGTGCTGCCACCTGCTGGTGGGAGTTCATCCAGAAACTAGAAGTGTCTCATTATTAACTTCTCTAACAAATATAACAAAAACAACTCAACTTTCAGTGTTTAAAAAAATGTTTTTATGTTGTTCTGCTCAGTGACGCAAACAAAAACTCACATTTACCCCCATTGCTGGCACAATAGAAAACACATTTCATATTTACTTGTGATTAGTGGAATATAAAAAAAAATTGTTTCAAAATTTAAAAAAGTGTAAAGACAACACTACCAGCTTAACTTTGTTCTAGAAATTACAGCGAGAAAATTACAGCCGCAATGTGTCCTTATTCTTATTTCCCTAATTGGCTGACTTATTATTAGGCTCCCTTTCTAATTACACACATATTTACTAATATGATACCTTGTCAGCAGCTCTTTTTTGTCAGGAGACTCCGCAACAATAATAGAAATTAAACCATATGATACATTTGATATTTGAGATCGTCATCTAAAAACGTTGAACTGTATCGAAGACCTTCAATGAGTCAACTCTGAATGCTTTCACGAACACTCGCTCGAAAACTCAATTCAGCTATTTTTCTCACATCCGTTCCGCCCTCTCTCATATACAGGTCCTTCTCAAAAAATTAGCATATTGTGATAAAGGTCATTATTTTCCATAATGTAATGATAAAAATGAAACTTTCATATATTTCACATTCATTGCACACCGACTGAAATATTTCAGGTCTTTAATTGTTTTAATACTGATGATTATGGCATACAGCTCATGAAAACCCAAAATGCCTGTCCCAAAAAATTAGCATATCATGAAAAGGTTCTCTAAACAAGCTATTAACCTAACCATCTGAATCAACGACGTAACTCTAAACACCTGCAAAAGATTCCCGAGGCTTTTAAAAACTCCCAGCCTTGTTCATTACTCAAAACCGCAATCGTGGGTAAGACTGCCGACCTGACTGCTGTCCAGAAGGCCATCATTGACACCCTCAAGCAAGAGGGTAAGACACAGAAAGAAATTGCTGAACGAATAGGCTGTTCCCAGAGTGCTGTATCAAGGCACCTCAGTGGGAAGTCTGTGGGAAGGGAAAAGTGTGGCAGAAAACGCTGCACAACGAGAAGAGGTGACCGGACCCTGAGGAGGATTGTGGAGAAGGGCCGATTCCAGACCTTGGGGGACCTGCGGAAGCAGTGGACTGAGTCTGGAGTAGAAACATCCAGAGCCACCGTGCACAGGCGTGTGCAGGAAATGGGCTACAGGTGCTGCATTCCCCAGGTCAAGCCACTTTTGAACAAGAGACTGCGTCAGAAGCATCTCGCCTGGGACTGCTGCTGAGTGGTCCAAAGTTATGTTCTCTGATTACAGTAAATTTTGCATTTCCTTCGGAAATCAAGGTCCCAGAGTCTGGAGGAAGAGAGGAGACACAGAATTCACATTGCTTGAGGTCCAGTGTCAAGTTTCCACAGTCACTGGGGTTTCATGTCATCTGCTGGTGTTGGTCCACTGTGTTTTATCAAGGGCAGGGTCAATGCAGCTAGCTGTCAGGAGATTTTGGAGCACTTCATGCTTCCATCTGCTGACAAGCTTTATGGAGATGAAGATTTCATTTTTCAGCACGACCTGGCACATGCTCACAGTGCCAAAACCAGTGGTAAATGGTTTACTGACCATGGTATTACTGTGCTCAATTGGCCTGCCAACTCTCCTGACCTGAACCCCATAGAGAACCTGTGGGATATTGTGAAGAGAAAGTTGAGAGACACAAGACCCAACACTCTGGATGAGCTTAAGGCTGCTATCGAAGCATCCTGGGCCTCCATAACACCTCAGCAGTGCCACAGGCTGATTGCCTCCATGCCACGCCGCATTGAAGCAGGCATTCATGCAAAAGGATTCCCGACCAAGTATTGAGTGCATAACTGAACATGATTATTTGAAGGTTGGCGTTTTTTGTATTAAAAACACTTGTCTTTCATTGGTGGGATGAAATATGCTAATTTTTTGGGACAGGCATTTTGGGTTTTCATGAGCTGTATGCCATAATCATCAGTATTAAAACAATTAAAGACCTGAAATATTTCAGTTGGTGTGCAATGAATCTGAAATATAAGAAAGTTTCATTTTTATCATTACATTATGGAAAATAATGACCTTTATCACAATATGCTAATTTTTTGAGAAGGACCTGTATACAGTTATGTTGTTTATTTTACATAAGAGAAAAAAAAAAGACAGTCATAATTTTCCCACTTGATCAGAATTTAACGGACTACTTATATATCTTCTTTCTATCAGATCAAGACACTCAAAGTACTTTACACTACAATCTGTGTCCTCATTTACCCATTCATACAGCACTCTACTACATCTATACAAAGAATAATCAGTGCTTTATCGCATTCATACGCCGATGGGACACTCATCGGAGGCAGTGAGGGGTTCAGCGTCTTGCCCGGGGACACTTCAGCATGTGACTGCTGGTGGAATCGAACCCCCAACGCTTGCATTGGAGGACGACTGCCCTAACCACTCAGCCACAGCTGCACCCTACTGAGAAATGATGTCCTCCCACAGTTTACTGAGTGAGCTGAAGATCACCTCATCGACAAGCTGGACTCCGTAGTCCCTCTTCATAGGTTGGATCGTCACACCTCTGGCATTGACCAGCTGGGTCAGGTCTATAGGCTGAGTTGGGTCGACTCGGCCCAGATCGATCAGGTACTGGAGCCGTTTCAGAGTCAGAGGATGGTACTGTGGACGCAGACTGGGAAGGAAGAATAAAACCACAGGTGACTATAATATGAATTATTATTATGAAATATTTTACTAAGATTATATGCACTGTCTCTAGTTCTGCTGCAATGCAAACTGAACTGACATGTATTTTAAACAGAAACCAACAACTTCTGTTTGCAACTGTATCAGCATGGTAGCAACTTTTAAACCCCGGATCTGTTTAAATAGTGGCAATAACACTACCTTCCCCTCTGCCTAGCATCAGAAGACCGTGATGTTTTACCTGTGTCCTTCATTGAAACCGTATTTTGGTATGATCAAATAAAATGGAGTCTGCCCCCCCTCGAAGCCCAGCCGGGGTCTGGTCCCCCTCTGCCGTGATCCTTTGTGACCTCGACCGCTCTTGTTGCCTCCGTGCTGTCCTCTGCCCCTCCGTTTTTCCTGCACCATCACACCTTGTTTATTCAAACATCTCACAGACTCTGCCCGCATCTGTTTTCATTCAGCTAGCCATGTTAGCACGAGCGCTAACGTAGCTCAATGAAGGAGACGAGTTCGAACTTACCAACTTCTTGGATCCTGGTTCCGGTCGCAGGTTCGCTAAAGTGATTCTCGGCAGATTCTGCAAAACATCCAACGCTTTGCCGCCGGTTTTTTTAGTGCAAGACATGTTTTTTGTCGCTCACATGTCAAAGTTAGCGAATCAAGGACATAAAGGTCACGTGGGATGAAGACAGCGGAAGTACTTGTGACGCTGAGAAGTTTCAAAATAAAGGCATGAAATATTATGAAGAAAATAAATATTATGAAAAGCTTTAAGTTCAGTTTATTTATATAGCGCCAAGTCACAACAGAAGTCGTCTCAGTGCACAGAACAAAAACATTAATATATATAAAAATATGTTAACACCATTAATCTGAGGAGCAGACTGCTTTGAATTTGACCATTGTAGAACACTCATCTTCAGCAAGCATGAAGGCGACAGTGGAAAGGAAAAACTCCCACATGACGAAGAAACCTTTAGCAGAACCAGGCTCAGAACAAGCCTTCTTTTGTCTGTCTAAACCGGTCTCGCCCTGTGATGGAATTGCGACCCCTCCAGAGTGTACCCCGCCCCTCACACAGTGATTGCTGGACATTGGCACCGGCGACCCCTGTGACCCAAAATGGAAGAAGCGCGTAAAAAGATAATGGATGGATGGCTCATTGGGATTTATCTGTATAAATAAATGTTGAATGAAAAAAGTGTCCACCTGCTTTGACCTAACAATGTATAAATGGCATTGCTATACTCTAAAGGCACTACTGTATTATTAAAATAAAACTTTTAAACTTGGGATCATTTTAATTTGGCCTGCTTTAAAGTTTTTGTAGATTATGATTGTGTTACAACTGGCATTTATATTATTCATAAACAACTGCAGCCAGTTGCAGCCTCGAATTCAGGAGGAGCAGTGCGATTTTCATCCTGGTTAGGATGCCTCCTGGACGTCTCCCTGGTGAGGTGTTCTGGACACGTCCCACCGGGAGGAGACCCAGAGGAAGACGCACGACACGCTGGAGGGACTATGTTTCTCGGCTGGCCTGGGAATGCCTTGGGATTCCTCCGGAGAAGCTGGCCCAAGTGGCTGGGGAGAGGGAAGTCTGGGCCTCCCTACTTAAGCTGCTACCCCAGCGACCCGACCCCGGATAAGCAGGAAAAAAATGGATGGATGGAACTGGAGCCAGTGTTGTCTGTTTAAATTTATAGGATCATTTTTGACAGAAAAAAAAACAAAACAAATTCAATATAATATTGAATAATATATAATAATATACATAAACTCGTTGGGTAAAAAAATGACAAAATGACGATGAACTAATATACAGTAATTTGTAAATTTAGGTAAAAAGCCAAATATATGGTGGAGTGAGGACAGAGGACAGATGAAAGTGGATGAATTGCTGTAGCGACCCCTGAAGAGGAAACAACCGAAAGAAGAAGATAAAAAACAAAATAAAGAAATTGCCTTTTCAAATTGTGTAGACATTTGAGCAATTTACGCGACAATATTAAAATCACGTCAAAACATACAGCAACAACTAACAAACAATAAAACCAAAGAGCAGCAGCAACAAGTATGATGTGAAAGGTTGCGTCACAGAAGCATCAGTACTTTAAATATTACTAATTGTTACAATGAGATTTTTACACTAAGGTGAGTGCAGAAACAAACAAACAAAAACCAACAAAGACAAACAAATAAAATTAAAGTGCATAATGTAAATACATTAATTCTCTGTGGATATTGTCAATTATTTTAAGTATTTTATTGAATTTTTTCATGCATATAAATCAAAACAGTAACAAATGCTGTAGCAATAATTAAAAGGAATATACTATTGCAATTTTTTATGTTCTTTTTTTATAGTTTTTGTTTATTAGAATAATTTTATTGAAAATAGACTTTGTAGGACTTCTATTACCTGTCTAAAACAAAACTTATCAAAATAATTATCATTTGAAACCAAAATGTGTGAAAAGTCCAAGTTTTTGTATATTTAAACTTTGCATAATATGTTGGCAATTTCTCCAAATATCAAAATACTTTAAAATGTGTTTAGAAATCCCTGAAATAAAGTTTTTGGATCCTAACCTATAACTTTGAATACATTAAAATGTAATTTTATTATCTTTAGTGGAATAAAACTCGTCGTTTGGCTTAATATTTATACATTTTAATGTGTTTTGCGATTTCTGTCGAGGATTTAGCTGGCCTCAAAGCAGTTTAAATTGACATTTCATTTAACCAATGAGCGACTGGAATATGTTAGCGGCGATAACGGTAGCCAATCACATGGCTTGGGAGGTGGGACTACAAAGCTTCCTGTCGCAGCTGGCGTGCTAGCTGTTTCTGGAAGACAGCGCTACGGTTTTGTTGTCTGAAAATTAAACTTCTAGAAGGAGATTTGGTTTCAAGCGTGTCCGCAGAAGTCGGGGAAGCTTTGACCGTCTGTCTGACTTTGTTCTTCGGTTGTTATACATTGGGAAGCCTTAATCCCGGCGTGATATTGTTGTTAGCTTAGAGGAGCTAACTTGTCCAGCTGCCTCAGCGCTGTATGTGCGGCAACAACATGTCAGCTCCTTTACCTGCCATCGTGCCTGCTGCCAGGAAAGCCACCGCGGCGGTGAGTTATCATGACACTTCAGAGCTATACATTATTATTTAAAGTTAGCTCAAACACAACTGTTGGCATTAAAAGTCGCTTTTTAATTTCTGACACCTGTCAATGTTTACCTGCTCTTTACAGGTCATATTTCTGCATGGCCTCGGTGACACGGGGTATGCAAATGACTCTTTTTTTATTTATTTTTTTTAGATTCATAATTATTAGTGTGTGTCTACCTTTAAAGATAATTTTACTGTATCAAATTTGACAGGCATGGCTGGGCAGAGGCTTTTGCAGGCATCAGGATACCACATGTGAAATACATCTGTCCTCACTCGTAAGTTTGCAAAAGGTTTTAAAGTCTGCAAGCAGATTAAACATTCAAGGCTCTGTCAGGCTTTGAGTATAATTTGCACTGAATGATGCAAATGTGATTAAACTTGAGTTTTAGTGCCGTTTGGTCACGTTATAATGTTCTTGTTCACAGCCCCACTATGCCTGTTTCTTTAAACATGAGGATGTCCATGCCTTCTTGGTGAGCGTCGCAGCTTAAATGCATATTTTACAGTGATTTATTTGACTTGCGCACATTATCGATGCTTAATTTCTGACTTATAGGTTCGATATTTATGGGCTGAGTCCAGACGCAGACGAAGATGAGGCTGGCATCAAGAGAGCATCAGAGAACAGTGAGTCTGAGCAACATACTGCGCACGTGTTCCTTTTGTAACTACGCATAGTTGTTTTTTTTACATTTAGTTTTTAAATTCACTCTGCAGTCAAAGCCTTGATAGATCAAGAAGTGAAGAATGGAATACCTTCACACAGAATTATCCTGGGTGGATTTTCTCAGGTATGTGAGGCGTCTTTTGCATACGAGGTGTTATTTAACAGGACTGTGGTTTGCATGGTGCATTAAAAGATGTACACATTTCAGTTTGTGTTTCGGGGTAAAAAGTATTCTTTTACAAAGCTTACTTACCACCCAAACAAATCCTTGAATCTGAGGTCAACAGCATGGTGTTTGGCAAGCTAATTTAACCGCTAGCTTTTAGGTAGGAATAATAAAGGGATTTATTAAGTGTGACACTTCACCACCTTAATACGAAATACGCAACTGTTCTTTTTGCTATTACCATATTTTTCGGACTATAAGGCGCATTAAGCGAATCAAAACAGTCAGACAAGTCAAACTTTATTCAACTCATTCACAGTAAACACATAAAATAGGTTCGAGGTCAGTAAGCACAACCAGAATTAATACATAAGGCGCACTGTCAGTTTTTGAGAACATGAAAGAGTTATGCGCCTTAAAGTCTGAATAATACGGCAGTAGTTTGTCAGCAGGAAATGAGGATACCTACTTCTTATGCTTCAAACCCAGTAACTAGTTTACTTCAGTCCAGTTTATAACTGTCTTTAAGAAAAAATTGTATTCTTTTGTGCATATTTATTAAAAAAGTATATTTTTTTTGTCCCATTTTAATATTGTACAGAAGAAAAGTGGATGAGGAGCACTTGCTTTGGAACAAATATTAGACGGCTGCGATGTTAAAGGAAAACACAGCATTTAAGGAGTTATAAAGCCAGTTTTAGTTCAGCAGTACACGTATGTGCATATATTAGAGGTTTTAAAGGACCCTCTTGTGTGCAGACCGTTTCATGCTTGTTGTTTCTGTGGGAATCTGTAGTGAATTGTCTGAGAGAAGGACTTGGTTTGTTGTTCCAGGGTGGAGCATTGTCTCTTTACACAGCTTTGACAACTCAGCAGAAGCTCGCTGGCGTGGTCGCTCTAAGCTGCTGGCTTCCCCTCCGCAAATCCTTCCCTCAGGTAGATCAGAAAACGACACGGATATCTGCCCCTCTGCAAGTTTATGACGCATTCAGCGAACATGAATGGCAACTATCAGTTTGTTGGAACATTTTAATTGCTTAAAAATACCTCTTTGTATTTTATTTTCCTAAAACTGTTTCTGTATTGGAATCACGCTGCGGCAATATTCAGCAGGCAGCCTTTTATAATCGGATCATAAGAATAATCCTAATCTCTTCTGTTCTCAGGCGGCTACTAACGGCGCCAACAAGGACATGCATGTCCTGCAGTGCCACGGGGATGCCGACCCCCTGGTCCCGTTCACATTCGGCACCCAGACGGCAGAGAAGCTGAAAGCTCTCATCAACCCTGTAAATATCACCTTCAAGCCGTATCGAGGTCTGCCTCACAGTGCCTGTCCTGAGGTCAGCATGCAGACACACGCTTCACTGTGCACCTCGTTCGGTTTGGAGTTTCATTCTGTTCATTTGTTCTTGTGCAGGAAATGATCGATATCAAGAGGTTTATAGAGAGGCAGCTTCCTGCTATCAGCAACGAATGAACAAAGAATAATCACCTGCTCACTTTTATCCGAGTCCGTGGACCTCGACGTCAGCAAGGCGAGGTGGACTCAGGAGTTACGTGACAGTAAACCCACGCTGCTACTTTATAGATTCCGAAAGACTGGAGCCGTTAGCCTGAAGGGCGCGATTGAAACATTGCTGCGTTCGACCTGGAGCCACATTCTGCTCTCAGTGTTACTGTAGGCGAACTTTAGCTGCTTGATTGTAAAGCCTGTTCCACTGAGACAAGCCATTTTTGCAGGACTTGTATGTATTATAATAATCAGGGCTATAATTTCTGCCTTCTCACAATAAATGGCATGTTAATAGTTAGTAGTGTTTAAATAAGTTTATTTGTTAGTGTATTGCCCATTTAATTAAGAAGTTCAGCTTTCAGCTACCAAAATGTGCTTTATTTCTGAATTTTTGCTTTAAAAAAATATTAGAATTTCGTTTTTAATTGCTCTTTTTTTTTTTTTTGCCCAAGTTTAATGGAAAGGTAGGATAATGATAGAAAATATTTGTAATTCCTGTAAACGAGTGCAAAAAATATTACTCATGTTAAATAAGGTGGTAAATCTCCTAATATTCATGAGAAATGACAGCAAAAAAACGTGATTGTGCTTTATTTAATTTGTGAGAATTCAAATAGCTATTTCACACATTTTTTTGTTTTTAATACATAAAATATATCGGTGTCCATGGTCATGTATTTCAGTGTTCTTCCCTGTTTTCATTCAAATTGAATATATAACTAGTGTCACAGTATTGAAACACAGACGAGATGGATTTCCTGGTATCGGCTCATCAGGTGGTAAAAACGTTTTGATCTTTGAGAAGAGCTGAAAGCACCAGCGTGTGAAGTCACTGTCGCACCGTTTCACGTCAGACCAAGAGGTGCTTGTGGAGGTGGTGGTATTCCAAGGCACTTTCCTTTCTTCCTGTTACATTTTAAATAAATCCTACTGGTTCCTACAAGAACTGGATATGCATTAAGGCTCACTTCATACCTAAATACAAATGCAGTGCTCACAGGTACATGCGTTCCCTCGTTGGACAAGGTAGAAAAGTGCAATGTTAAGCGCTAGGGAATATATTTATATATATGTATATATAAAAATATAGATTTTTTTTTTTTTTTTTAACAAACGCAGTAACTGATGCTGAACCTAGCTTTTGTTCTTGGTTGCTCTGTGGGGTTTCTAAGCTAATCGTGGGTAAATAAACAGCAGTCAGCAGCTGGCTAAAGACTGCTTTTAAGGAGTGTTCATTTTCCTGTCTTTGTCTTTAAATAGCAGGATTCCAACAAGAACACAAAACTCCTTATTTATATATATATATATATATAAATAATATATATATATATATATACATAAATAGTGTGTGTGTGGGATGCATGCGCCAGAAAGCTGTGTGTGGCAGAGGAGAGTCTATGGTTCGGCCAGAGGAGGCGGCTCCTCCAGGCTCTTCATCAGATCCATGTACGCAGACGAGTTTATGAAGCGAGGGTACGAGTCTCTCTGCATCAGCGTGTAGATCTGCTGCTGAGCGTCCTCGAACGTGTGCGAGGTCGGCTCCAACATGTTGCGGTTGATCACTTCTCGAACGCGGGAATCCAAACTCACCTAGAGGGAAAGCAGAATGAAGGGTCAACGCTCTTTGTTCGCATTTTGTACATGAGGTGGAAGGGAATTGTGTACTCAAGGTCCCAGTTACACCCAAAATTAGCGAAAATATACAGTATAAAGACATAGAAGATATATATATATATATATAATATATATAAAAAAAATCTATATATTTAAAAAAAATGTATATATAAAGAGTAGTGAAGTTCCACTTAACACATTAAGTTTGCAAATGATATAATAAAACTTGATTTTGGGAAAACTCAAAACAGAAGAGGTTTGCCTAAACATCTTAAACATTTTCACATTTTGAGTAAATGAACTAATTTTCTGGATTAGTTTTTGGCTAACTTAAAATATTGATTCCTGCTCGAAGAAGAAATGGTTCAGTTCTGATCAGCAGGGAGTTACAATTACTCTGAGCGTGCAACTGATAAGGGATAGAGCTTTAGAAGTGAGGTTCTATGGAAAATTATGAGCAACAAATATCTTATCTGTTGTAGATGTCTCTTCGAACACCGCCTGGTTTAGAGATGGGATTTAATTCTTACTATATCAATGTGTGAAGGGCTAGTAGGGCCACGGTGGACTGCTGTCTCAATCAAGCTATGTTCCAGCAGGAAGTGCTACAGCTAACTGCTGCTGTAAATATGTTTGCAGATGACCATAACTAATGTGAAATCAAGAGGTGTAAAACATTCATGAAACCACAGCTGCTGTGAAATGTTTGAGCTTGAATTAGCCGTTAGCTCCTCAGTCCAGTCAGAATTAAACTCATCTCTCCAGAGTGAGTCGGTTCAAAAAGCTCTACATTAACTCATTTACTGTGTTTTATTATTTATTTTATGATCTTATATCTCTGATACTCTGTTTTTCCCGCTCTCTCAAACTCACCTCCTCTCCGATTCAGTTGTTTTTATTTCGTTCGGACTCGTCGTTTCTGTTCAGTGATTCCTCCTGACTTGTGACCTTGTTCCTCTCTACTTCAAGTTGTTTGTTCTGGTTGATCTAATTGGTTTCTAAAACCCAACAACTCATTTTTATTTACTAATAAGTGGTTACTAAAGCATGGCATCATGATGACTAATTATATTGTTCAAAAATATGTTTTTTTTTTCTCAAATCAATGAAAATTCCCAGAATGCCTGATCCATATTCTGGTAAAATCAGTGACGGTCAGTCCTGACATTACAGCGGCTGAACCCACATGAATCTGTCTGATGGCTGACTAATCATTTTCCTAATGAGTTTGCCTCTAAATTTAGCTGCATGTCTCAGACTCCTGTCCTCGGTGCCCTCACCTCTTTAGGGGAAAGAATGGAGATGAAGTCCTCGTATATTTGCCGGACCTTCTCCTCCACCACAGTCTTGTTGGTCTCTTTTTTGAGCTCCTCGCAGGCGAGCCAGAACATCATGTTCTCTTCGCTGAACTCTGTCCTCAGGAACTGCCTGAAGCAGCTCCGTCCAGCTGCGCTTTTCATCACCTTTTCAAACGACAGTGCCCAGGAGCAAGCGTCTTCCAGAGTGGGCTTCGGGCTGGGAAGTACAAGAATATTTAGCTTTCATGAGATTGTCAAAGATTCTGTGTACATTTAGGGAGTTAAAATACCTTTCTTCACAATTTGAGTTTCCTTCTGACCTGGGCTCAAACATAGATCTTTGTATAGCTTCGTCCTCACTCCTAACAGTCAAACTGGAGGGAAAAATATAAAGTGCATTAATTTGTCGTCTTTAAATCTTTATTTTAAGAGTTCATTATCAGGATGACATTTTGAACACTTGCAAGCTGTAGCTGAGTTCATAAAATTACATTGGTGTCTTTATATGTTGACTTATTTAATTGCAAATGTAACTAGAGAAATTGCATATCCTGCAAAAATGCTGTGACTACTTATTGCTAAATTGGCTAAAAATATGCTGAAATGTAGCTGAAATGAAGAAGTAGCAGAAGCAAGCAGGAAAACAGATATTTGCTGGATTAGGTTTAAATAGACATAAATGAGCACAGAAATTAGCTAAAAAAAAGCAGAAATTAGCAAAAAATAGCTGAAATGTAGCTGAAAAGGCAGAAAGAAGCTTAAACTACCAGAATGAAGTGGAAAGAACTGAAATGAGTTTAAAAAAAGGCGGAATTAGCTGAAAAAGCAAAAATTAGCATAAAAACATCTAAATAGTAGCTGAAATAGAAAAAAAGTGGAAATGAGCATAACAAGCTGAAATTAGCATAAAGAAGTTAATTAGCCTGAAAGTAGCAGAAATTATCAGGAAAAACTTAAATTTATCTGAAAACAGCTGAAATTAGCTAAAAATGCTTTAAAAATAGCTGAAAAGTTACAAGCTTAAAGTAGCATAACAAAAGCAGAAAGAACACATTTGCTCAAATGGTCTGAAAGAAGCAGAAATGAGCACAGAAAATAGAAAATGTCTGAAAAAAGATGAAATTGGCAACAAAAAAAAAAAAAGCTGAAAAGTAGCTAAAAGGGCAGAAAGAAGCTAAAATTACCAGAAGGAAGTAGGGAGAGCACATTTTTGCTGAATTAGCCTGAAACAAGTTGACACAAGTGCAAAAAAATGTGGCATCAACTGAACAAGCTTAAATTAGCATAAAACAATTAAATGGTAGCTGAAATAGAAAAAGCTGAAATTAGCAGAAAGAAGTTAGAAGAAAACAAAGTCCATGCTCAATAATCCAGGTATACAATCCAACATTTTTCAGTCAGGTCATCTGGACAGTTT